GGCCCGCGGGGGCCCTGCCCTGCCCATCCCGGGCGTGGCGGGGCGGGGGCTGTGGGAGGTCGAGCCCGCGCCCTGCCGGCAGCGAGAGAGACATCGGCGGTTGTATAATTACCGAGAGCGGCGGTCTCGGGGCCGCTGCCGCGGGGCGGGTGCGCACCCTCGGAGGCGGCCGGTGCGGGGCTGCTCCCGCCGAGAAGGAGCGGAGCTCGGGGCCAAATCCGTCGGCGTTGCTGCGGCTCTTGGAACAAAGGGTCGCCCCGGTCGTGGCTGCGGCTGGGCTCGGGCAGCATCCGGGAAAGGTGATGGTCTCCCAGGGGCGAGTGGTCTCCSTATTCCCAGGAGAATGGCGCGAGTTTCACTTGTTTCTGTACAGGCTGCTCTTGCTTACGGAGCAAGCTGATCAGCCCGTGTTTGGTAAACTGAGTCACTGATGCTCCTCTTAAGGCCTGCAGTAGCTCGTTCCTGTCCGTGAGCCTTCCGAAGCGATTTGAGGGCGGTGTTTTCACGTCGGGATATTCCCGATGCCGACAGGAGCGGTGTCAGCTCAGCTCCTCTGCCGTGCTTGCAAAGCGGCTGCCGCGCACCCGGGATTCGGTTCTGGGGCTGTGACCTGGCACAAGGCATCCTCTGAACAGACTGTCAAGTAGTCACATGAGAGGCACAGTCTGGTGGCTGACGGCTTAGAAAATGTTTGTTTGAGGTGGAGAACGTGAAGATGGAGCTTTTTTCCAAAGATTAGAAACTCGTGAAAATTCACAGAAGTCAAACRATGCTTTAGTGAAGGAGTAGGATGTCTAATACAAGTCCCAGTGATTTGCTTGATAACTTCAGATTTTTCAAAAGTTCATGTTAAATCTGCAGGAAGGTGTTTGAATRTCAAAATGAGGCTTGAGGGTATCAGTCTCTTTTCTTCATGAAGGATTTCCTTAGATACTCAAATGTTTCTCAGCTCCTTTCTTAAATACATATTTGGAAGTATCTTTCTTAAATGTATGTACTTGAATCTTGAGGAATTAAGCTTTTCCTTCTAATCTAGTCCAGGAGWTGGACTTCAGTGATCCTTGTGGGTCCCTTCCAGCTCACAATTTTCTGTGATTAATCCTATGTACGTTAATTTAACATTGCTTTTATTTTTAGGATAAACTGAAAAGCTCAGGACAASTGATCTTCAAGAGCCCTGATGCTCTCATCTGGGATGGAATCTCTCCTTGATTCTTCTGTGTCTGCTGTGATAGAGGAGTTGTACACTRGACTGCCAGAGAGCATCTCCACAGAGCTCATGGCAGTGCCAGGGCCCAGCCTTGGMTTAGAAGCACAATCCGATGGGCCCRTGSCCGTGCGAGCACACAGGGACTGTTCATGGACTTCTGGAGTAGGAAACTTTGGCCAGAAGACAGAAGATTTGGGTGATGTGCTCAAGGTGATTTCCCATGGGCCAGCAGAACCCWTTCCTGAAGAAATACTACAGGCTGGAGACCTTGAAGAGAATGAAAAGAACAGAAAAAGACACTTTAGGAACCCAGACTGTTCTAGTGATGGCTACCAGAAAGAAGATGAAGAGACACGAGGTGCTGAGGACCATCATGCTGAATGTTGTGCTTTAGCTCTGGGGAAAAGTTGGTCAGAACGAGTAAGTGAATGCAGAAATGAATCCCTGTGTGATATTTTGAATTTAGGATTAGAGCCAATAGGCAGGGGGTTGGCCATGGGTTTCCTGGTTCTTTTTTGTGTTTTCTGGTTTAGAATCATAGAATGGTTTGGGTTGGTAGAGGATCTTGAAGATCATCTTTTTCCAAGCCCCTTCCATGGGCAGGGACACCTTCCACTAGAATAGATTCCTCAGAGCCCCATCCAGCCTGGCTTTGGACAGGCCCAGTGTGTGTGTCCATATTTGGATTATGGTGGGTCCAGTGAAAAATTAGACTATAGCTTAGTAGACCAGCAGTATTTTAAAATACCAAGGTTTTCACTTTCTTAAACACTGTTGTAATGGTGTAAGGTAGATATGTAATAGAACAAGGTGCACAGATGAGTGTTTTACATTAATTATTGGGTGTTACATAACGCTAGAATAATTTGTGTTTAATTCTGAATTTTGATATCTGTTTGATTTATCTGAAAGCTTATGAAATTAAAATCATTGAATTTTTGATAGCCATTCACTTTCCCACTATGAATTTTCACATATTTCTAAATGCAGGTAGTTTGATTGTGGGGTCGTGATTTGKTTTTTGCTGGCCCAAGTCATTTGTTCCTGGGTTTGTAGTTTTAAGCCAGGGGAAGGAGTGGTGGAAGGCAAATTCTAATAAAGATAAAAATGCACACATCATCCCAGAAGTCTAGTGATAGTGGTTTGGGGGTGTGAGCTAAACTTGGAGACTGGATTACTCTTCTCATTCAAATTTTTGACAATTTGCATTTTAAGCCATTTACTTACATTTTAGCTGCCACATCACAGACTTCATTGCTTCTAAATGCAGATCTTTTGGAGATGCATCTTTGTTTCATGGGAGATGGTGGTGGCTGAAAGGATAAGAAAGGATGACAAGTACTTGTGTGAAGCCCTTGCAATGCARGGCTGCCTCTGGCAAAGGCTGATATGTCCAGAGCTTTCTCAGTGATGTTTCTCATTCTGAACTAACCCAGCTGAGCAGATGCAGTCCCTGAGACATGACACGCTTCAGAAAATCCAACCATTTCCACTGATATTTCTGTCTTGTTTCAGGAGGACCGTTACTTACACTGGCAAGAGGCAAAGTTTTCAAGAAGCCGTTGCACTGAAATTGCACGATCTCTGAGGAGCACAGGTAGTTATTTTAGCTGTACATCCCTACCCAGCCCCTGCTTCTCTCCCAGGTATTTTTTGTTGATACAAAACAGAGGCGTGTGGGATGGCTCATTTATTTTGTTTTGTGGTGGAAACTATTCCCCTGTATAGCTATTACAATATCAAAATTTAATGCTTTACTTTCTCCTGGCAGTGTGTGTACTTGCCTGAAGACCTTTTCTGGAGATGTGTTTTAGTTATTTGTTTCAAATAGTTATTTACCCCAAAGCAGAAAGGGTTGTTAATAGCAGATGTTGTGCATTTCCTTTTATTTCAAACATCAAGTCTATGAGAGCAGTAATAGAAAATAAATAGAAAAATATTATTTCTATTTTTTTTAATGTTTTTAAAAATAAAATTTAAAGTGCGTAATCCAAAGAAGGAGGACAACTAAACTCATTAATTTCATTATGATCCTCCATTATGTTTTAGCTCCAAGAACTTTGGTCACTTTGCCTGCATCTAGTAATTCTTTTCTTTCTCCCTTCCTGCTTTCTTCCCTAAACATGTACTGAGCTGATGAAAGCCATCTAGCCTTGGTCCTTACTTGAAAATAGGGAAGCGATCTGAAGAAGTCTGAACAAATACATTTCCTGTGAAGTTTTGCATATGGAGATAATCTACAGTAACTATTTTTTTTTAATTAGGACCTTCTTTGTGATTTTACAGAAAAAGTTTATGAATAATCCAAATTGCTTGGGCAGATGAGATACGCCTTGCTTTCCTGTGGATGGTTTACTGGCAGACATGTGTTCAAGGAAGAAGAAATGGAAATGGCYACTCAATTTCCAGCCATATTTCTARGCTGGAGCAGATCAAGTCCCCACCTATGCTGGGTTTCGATGTTACAAATAAACATTATAATGTAGCCCATGGCTTCCTATGTGTTAAGTTACAGAACCTGTATTCACCTAGGTCCATAATAGAGGAATATGAAATACACACATCTTGTAATGCYTGCTGCTCATGGGAATGTCTGTATGGAAAAGGATTGTATTTGTTGCCTTAGCTTTGTGGTGGAGTAGTTTGTTTTTTCTTTTGAAGACTTGTAATAAAATTGAGAGCATCAATTCTCACTTTTAAGAACATTTTAGTAACCAATACTGCACACAGTGTTGTGTACAACACCAGAAGTTTCTTAGTAAACTGAATGCCTTCTAAATTTAGTATGTGGTTCTGATTAGCTTTATTTTTTTTTATGCAGAAGCAAACCAAGCAAATGTTCAAGTGACAGCTGAAACTCTGCCAAAGCTCACTGAAGAAGTGCAAGGTATGAAGGCTGATGGGACTAGGATATTTAGTAAAGCAGGATACAGGAGTGACACAGTGAGTAAAGGTCTTCCACCTCAGAGCAATCAATGCCCAGACGTAGACACAGTCATGGCCAGAGCTGGGGTTTCACAAACCAGCATCTTAGATTTTTTAGAGCCTTTAAAAGTCATGAACATTGGAGCAGCGACAGATCATCCACAAGAAATAAGTGACTACAGTGGATCAAAAGCCCATACTGGCATGCCATTGAGAGCAGGGGGCAATGGTGTATCTGTTTTGGAGATTAGAGAAGAAAAGTTACCCAGACAAAATCCTGTTAATGAATTCAGTACGTCATTTGCTAATTGCCAGACTTATCAGCAGGATGAAGAAAACAATGCTCATGACTTCTTTAAGGGTCCTGTACCTAAACAAAATGAACCTTATGGGYTGTTCTCAGTAGAAAGCTGTAGAACACTCTCCACACCAAGTTCGGAAGTTTTACATCCGGTTCTGAAAAGCACCTGTTATCTGGACTTTGGAAATMTGCCACTAGAAAGCAGTTCTGCAATTCGTGGAGTTATCAATGAAACCTCCCAGAACTACCTTCCCCAAAACATCAAACATCACACTCTTTATGATCATGGAACTGGGTTTGTAGAAAAACAAACCTTCACATCTGTACCAGTGGAGCAGATCTCAGTGGTAARGAATGAAGGATTACCTAGTGCTAAAACTGATCCTAGGGAATTAAGTGCTGCTGTAGGTAAATCATACAGCTCTGAATCTGAAGAGGCTGCTGAAGTTTGGAGAGGAATTGTTGGGGGAAATGACACTGAAATTTGTAGCTGGCCGGAAGCTCAAGAGCTTGCTAATTCTAAGCATTGCCATTCTTCAGTTTTTGGTTTTGTTGCTTCATCTCCTGAGGAGTTCTCAAAAGGAAAATTTAAAATAGTCCCATCAGAAGGTGATAAGATAAAAAAGGACCAGTGGCAATYCTTTGTCAGTGACCCGAGCAAGGATGATATAAAAGAAAATCGTTTGTGGGTGGAAACGAGTAACATTGAAACTGGGCAGAGAGACATTTGCTTTTATAGTACTGCCAAAAAGACTCCTTTCAGTAACCACAGCTGTCTTGATCTACGTACTACACTACAAAAAGACTCATTCAAGGCACAGCTGCTTGAAAAGGAACCTGAGAGCAATACAACATCACAAGAGCTGGCTGGTGGTTTAGTTGGAGCTGCAGAAGCTGACAGTAGTGACAACTTATCCACTGGGAGCGAAACAAATTTGTTTTATACACTAAATGTAACTCTACCTCCTGTTTTACAAAAATCAAGAGAACCTCATTATAATGAGCATCTTCCTTGTACTGCTAATGAAGTTTCATATAGGGGCAAGGCTTGGGATAATCTRTCTGGAAAAAAATCAGTTGGTGCTTCTGGAACTACAGCGGAACAAGTTGGTGAAGTTTTGCTTCATAGAGACAAATTCAAGTGTTCAGCAAGTTCCAGGACTTTTGATAACCCTAATATGGCAAGCAGAGTATCCCAAATGAAGATAAAATCTTCTGCAGGAAATATGGAGAGAGTGGTGACTGGTTTAGAAAAGAAACTTTGTGACACATGGAATTGTAATAATCAGAGTATAAAAAACCAGCATACAGCTGCCAGTACTCCCTGTATTTTATCAGGGAGTACACATGTGGATGAAGTTTTCCTGTACAATCATTCTTTGGATGTTGAAGCTGGTAAGATTGAAGAAAATGATGATTTGGAAGGAGCATCTTTGTCAGGATATAATAGTAAAGAGGCAACCATCTTTCCAGAAGCACACGTTGCTTTGGCATGTGGCTCTCTACCTTGTAAAGATGACTGGGGCAATAGAGGTATAGCTGTGCGTGGGATAAATGACATTCCCAGAAGAAAAGCCATGATTTGCTCAGCATACACTGCAGAGGAATCTACTGCTACCTTGGCAAGAGATGAGATTTCAAATAAAAATACAGAGAATATACAACAATTTGATCTTAGGAAAGTAATGGGCAGTGAAATAGTTTGTAACATAGAGGCGGCAAAAGAAAAAATAAGCACACGGGCTTCTGAGACAGAAGAATTTGATAAAACAAGAACTGTGGATTCCCAGAACGCTCCTGAAGGCAATCAAAGAAATAGGACTAATAAACAGCTATTAGTCAGATACTTGAATAAAAACACCTGTCCTCATAACTTTGGATTTTACAACTCTCTGTTAGGCCCATGGAGGAGAGAACTCGACACACGTGAGCARGAAGAAGTGCCCTCACTCACAGTTGATCTCCCAGAGTGTAGCACTTCGACCTGTGATCCATGGCCAGCACCTGACAATGGGAACCTTCCAACACATGCTGGCCAAACAGAAGAGACCCTTTGTCCCATGGAAAATTGGTGTCGTGCATGTCAGAGTGAGTTTGATGGCCCAGTGCTGGGTAGTGAGCAGCATTTACAAAGTTTAACCAACCAACCAAACACTGGCTTACAAACCATGGATGGTTCTGTGGAAAAAAATGAAACTGACTCTGATGACAGTGAAGARATTCTGCTAAAAACATGTGGTGACCTGCCTCTGTTAGACCATAAATATGCAAGAGAAGCCAGGTTTGAAGAAGCTTCGCAAGAAAATGTAGTGGGTTTGGACTCTTTAACTGGTGTGAAAAATGAAGGCTCTTCRGGATACATGGGCTCCATCAGTGATGTAATTGAGGAGAAGACAATCAGACTACAACAACATGAGAGCAGTTGTCAAAGAAACAACAAAAGAACTACTGAAGAAAGCCATTCTGATAACGAGCTACATTGTTCACAACATGCTTGTTTTATCCAATGTGCAAAAGAGAAAGCAGAGCTGCTGTATGAAGGAAACAAAATGCAGCAATCTTTGCCAAAGATGAAGTGGTTGGTCGAGAACCAGGAAAGTACAATTAGTGCCCAATTTTTGCCCATTCATCCCATTTCATCAATTCATAGGAATCTTTCTTACAAGCCAGAAAATACAAAYGTACTTTCAGATACAGAAAACAGCGAAAGTCTGCGTATAAATTCTATCTCAARTAATTCTTGCCCACAATTAACTTTTGAGCCTGGTAAAGAAACTGATGCTCAGAGGGGCACTGGTCCATCTTGTTTTGGAAAGTTTGACATCCAAGAATCTTCTGYGGAGACTCAGGTGGATTCAGAAATTGTGTCAGCTCTGGACTCACACATCTCTCTGCCAGAGAAAGAAAAACTCTGTATGTTACCTGAGAATACACAAAGAGATAACTGTGATTCATCTTCAGCTGAAGTTTCTAGCAAAGATACTTCAATGACAAAAATTCTTTCTGTGACCATTTCTGTTAAGAAAAAATCCAGCAATATTGAAGTTCCATCTTCAGGGAATGAATCAGCAGCTGGCTCACTGAATGGTGCCAAAAGCTCAAGAGTTTGTGCTCTCAACAAAGAAGGTCTGAAAGGTGAGGGGCTTTGTATGCCAACTGTGAAAGACGTGAATGTGAGCTCACCAAAAAGTCTTGCCAGTGGAGAGAAGTTTAAGAACACAGATAGGCCAGAAAATATAAATGTGCTTTCAGATACAGAAAACAGCAGAAGTCTGAGTATAAATCCTATCTCAAATAATTCTTGCCCACAGTTAACTTTTGAGCCTGATAAAGAATCTGATGCTGAAAGGGGTATTCATGTATCCCGTTCTAAAAAGTTTGACATCCAAGAAMCTTTTAATAAGACTCAGGTGGATTCAGAAACAATGTCAGCTCTGAACTCAGGCATCTGTCTGCCTGAGAAAGAAAAGCTGTGTATGTCACCTGAGAATACACRAAGAACTATTTCATCTTCAGACAAAAAATTTAGCAAAGATACTTCCATGACAAAAATTCTTTCAGTAACAATTTCTGTTAAGAAAAAATCCAGCAATATTGARGTTCCATCTTCAGGGAATGAATCAGCAGCTGGCTCTCTGAATGGTGCCAGAAGCTCAAGAGTTTGTGCCCTCAGCAAAAAAAGTCTGAAAGATGAGGGGATTTGCACACCAGCTGTGAAAGACATGGATGTGAGCTTACCAAAGAGTCCTCCCTATGAAGAGAAGTTTAAGAATACCTGTGTGGAAGACATGATAGGTAAAGGGGTAACCTYTAGAAGAAGGTTGCCCAAAGATCGTTCCTGGGCCTTGTTGGAAGATTCTAAAGCGTCTGGTAGCAAAACCGTCCCCCTCAGGACTGAGAATCATGGAAAGGTTTTGGAAGAAATCCCAAGATCCAAACTAAATCATTTTTCAAAAGAAAGAAAAAATGATGGAAACCTCCCAAACTTAGCAGGTACCAGTGTGCTTCCAGAAACTGTGTATGATTGTCAGGCTGAAGCCGTGTCTGACACAGAGGCTGCCCCAGAACTGCAGGATGATACAATGCCCACGTTTTCTCCACTCCTGAGCACACTATCAGACAGCTGCCAAGAGCCATTCCCAACGTGTGTGGTTTGCAGTGAAGTGTGTATGCATCACAAAGTAAATGCACAGAGCAAAGATAATGGAAAGGAGGTAACAGAAGGCCAGGACAAGGTTCCAACTCATGCAGTTGGCAATGAAAATGAGGCTTTAGATTCAGAGAGACTTGATCGAATAGAGGAACGTCAGGTACTTGAACAAAAGTATGGAAAGGTGGAAGAACATCAGTTGGACGAGTCACAAGAAGAACAGAAGGTAGAACATCAGGAGAAAGCAAAAATCATACTGCAACCAAGCATGTTGCATAGTTCTGAACTCTTACACAGTCCTTCAGCTGAGTTGATGACATCTGGAAATATGATGTTTGGACACCCTTCAGAGGAAATATTTGCTGTCAGAGGCAGTAAAGATAAACTATGTAGCACTTTACAAGAAGTTAAAAGGCCAAAGATTACCACAGATTTTATTAGTTCACAGTTTTCGAAGACTCAGGATTCAGAARTGGAAAACCTGGACCTTAATTTGGGGTATGATGGGATCCCTGGTGCCTTTGGAACTACAAATAAACTAAGAGGAACTAGAAGTAAACTAAGAGGACCTCTTCCATTAAAAATACAACCTGGAAGGACATGCAAAAAAATTCCCACATTTTATGAACTAAAAACCATAAGAAAAACAAAAAAAATTAAAAGTTCACTTTTCTCTGAGATTCCCCTGGAAATATTTCCCAAACAGGAAAATACATTTCTGGAATCTTTGTACTTCCCATGTAAACCACCGCCAGTGGAAAAGGAAACAGCCATGAGATTTGTGCATATGCCAAGGCAGAGGGCCAAGGGGTGCAGTTTGTTGAACAGCTTGAAATTTAGAAAATGTACCAAAGAATCAGCATTGTTGAGCAAGTTGTCTGCAATGGCCAGCAAGCTCCTGGCCCCTGCCAAAAGCAGTCGTAACTTAGAATCTCTGCCATATTCTTCTGAAATGCTTCCAATGGGTGACAGGTACAGCCAATGTAGATCTAAAAATCTCTTGGAAGCTTTTTCTTGCATTAACAGGAACATACACTCACGCTGGGCTGACAGTTGGTGCACCAAAATGTTCAGCTTTCAGCCTTTAGCACTTTATCCTGTAGAAACTACCAAAATATTTTCTTCAGACTTAAGCCACAAGCCTCCAACCTCTTTTTTGGACACCCCAGTTTTCCCAATTTCTTTTAACATAAAATTGGACTCCAGTCACGTGACAGACCTCAGAGGGATTACATCCCAGCACTCTGTACATCACAGACCAGTTTTGAGAGAAACGCCAGCACCAGCTTCAGAGTGGACTTTGTCTTTTCTCCTGTCTCAGAGCTGTTCAGATACAACAGCTTTCAAGGAAGATTCCAGTGTAAATAATGAGCTTCATTCCTCTCACTCCACAACAACCCCAAGGACTGTTGCTCTTCATCCTGACCCTGGAAGAAATGCTGTAGYTGGAAGAAGAGGCTGTTCCACGCTTGGCCTTCACACAGTGTTAGCACTTTCTTCCCCTGGATGTTACAGGATTTGGACAAGAAGAAGAAACTTAACCAGCCATATTCCTACCATCCAGAGACTATTTCTATCGCAGCTGGCACAGGGTTTGAAAGGGGACAGGTATCCAAGGTGTGTATCCAATGAGCTCGTCTCCTCATTGCCATACTCACTGGGCAGGGTACTCTCCATATGGAGTCAGCGTGGTCCTTCTGCCCGTCCTTCTGAAATCACTCCTCTCCATTCCAATCACTGCAAGTGGCAGCCAAGTGTGGGCATCGAGAACAGGTAAAACCCATCAACTTCTTTCTGAGACTAAGTATGTACAGGGTAAATACTTGCTCCTTTTTGGGAGGGAGAGGGGAATGCAGCTTGCATTGCAGGGTCAGTTGCCCCTGTTCCAGATCTACACATTCTGCTCCAGGAAGGGCTCAACGTGGAAGATCCTTTCTTATAGGACAGTCTGTTAGCTGAATTTAAATATATTTGCCTTCACTTCTTTAATACTATCCTGTTTTGGCAGAATGGCTAACTCTACTTTCTTCTCCCTTGCAAAATATACACACCATGCATCAGAGTATATAATGCAAAAGGTGAGCTACTTCATTAGGTCTATTCAGAGTGACTGCTGAGGAACTGGACTTCTGAGGTAGGAAAGTTTTTTTCAGAGGTCTGAGCCACAAGTACCCCTTGGAACCACTGTAAAATGCTCAATATCAGGTTAGGAAGAATTGTAAAGGGCGGGGGGTGGCATTCAGTTACAATTTTTAATTGTATTCCATGACCATTCCATGTTAATTGAAAACTCCTTATGCATGCTACGGCTTTTCATATGTGATGTTGGTACAAGCAAATGTAGCTCCAGTTAATGTTGGTAATGATTYTTTCTGTGTGTCAATCTTGTTAAGAGTGGGAACAGGACTGAGCTCTACTTCACATATTTAGTTTTACTTTGCTATCAGCATTAAAGATCATTTTACTAAAAAACGGAACGAAAGAAGTTCCTAGCTCTGTTGCAGCATTTTTGCATGTTCTTGAGCAAAGATTTTGCCCTTTATCCCTCAATAACACAGGATGGTTCAGTCCCTCATTTTATCACTTTGTGATTCCTGGACAGAGCTCATGAGCACTTTAGCAAACCCCATTTTATTAATTGTTTTGATCAGTATAGCAGTCTGTAGAGAAGTGTTGAATTTGGCCTATGTCATAGATTGACATAAATGTAACCAAAAATCTTGCCAGATAACTAATGCTGCACTTTGCTTTGTATAAACAAGTAACATACCTAAAAGTTTATCACTTGTTAGAGTAAATTCTAATGTCTGCCAAAAGTGGGAGTGAGCTTATGAAAGCACTGCTTCATTCTGGAGTGTCTGCACTAAAAGAATTAAGTTGAATAATGGCATAGAGACAACTTGCAGCACATTCTATGAGACTTGCTTCCATTTTCATTCCATACTCTGGAAGTGACCATACTGGTAAAGTACAGTTTGAGCACAAACTTAAAAATAGCACATTGCKAAAACCAAAACAAACACCTTTTTAAAACTTTATGATGTGTATGAGGTGAATTTTGTGGTTTTTGTTGCTGAGGCATATTATCCTTGGACTGGGAGGTCAGAGCTTTTGGGTTTTYCCCCATCCTTAAGTCTGCAGGCTACTCAGCAGCTTGGGACAGCATATCCAGTTAGCTAATGTGTAAGAGGATTTAATTCCTGACGTAAAGGGGAATTGGAAAGCTGCATGCTTTGCTACGAGTGATCTTTTTCCCAAAGGRAAAGTATTCAAATCAAACCTTTCCACTTCAAGTGAAAAATAACCCAGAGTTAAAGTACTCTAAAACTCTATTTTTTTTCTCTAAAATCCCTTGCAACTATATGCATGGGGCAGATGTAAATCTGCCCCAGTCAGATGTTTTGTAAGTAAATATAAGAGGTATGWTTGGTGTGGTATAAAAGCATTTTCAGCTCCCATTATGACAGAAATCTTTGCCTGTGAAAAATCAAAAAGTTCCCTGCAGGCCATTTTCATCTGGAAAAGATTTGTTTTGTTTAAATTATTTCATTCACAATTAGAGTTCTTAATAACCAGGAGAACAAGGAACTAAAGTAGTTCTCTTACCTAAAAAAAATCTCCTGTCACTTCCATTGTCAATAATAAAAGCATTCTTTCAGCAAAMTCTATTTTCTAATCAATGCTTATTTGTAATTTTGTATTATTATGCATAWAACAGTAATGTCTGTACTATTGATACAGGTTCCAGTAACACTGGAATAGCGAGAGGAATGTTGAGAGAAACAAAATATTACAGTTGTGATATAAGTGAAAAATGCAAGAAATGGGTCTTTCTGAGTTCCTTATGTATAGTTGGACTCCTGTGCTTTCAGCATGGCTGGTTTTCATTTCCTGTGTGGAATTCCAGTCTGACTGTAGCATCTTTACCTTTGAACAGTGAAGTGCATTTTGCTGTTGGTTTGAGAGAAAAGCAAGTACAGGATTTGCTGTTTAACATAATGAAAGCTGTCCCAAGTGGTTGTCTGTTGTTTATAATATAGGCACAAAAGTAAAGCTTAATATCAAAGGACTTAAGAGCTRCTGTGCTTTTATGCCATGGAATTTGATAATTACCAACCCTTATGGAAAGGCCTTTGGTTAATCCTATCAATTAAGGAWATTGCAGACTGTGGGAGTTAGAGACAACAGGGAGTTAATCTTATGGAAGTATTTCTTTCACCTCTTACTGTTGCCATTATGCCCTTTTTCCTTTACTAGCCAAATCCTTCAAGGTTTTTGGTTACTTCAGTTTTAAAAACTGGGGGTTTTGAATAATGAATATAGACTTTCATAGAAAGAATTGCAACTTTCAGACTTTAATAATTACATAGAAATAATTATGRCTTTCAATATTACTGTATCACTCTCTTTCTATATTTTTATTTCCTTTTCTCATTACTACCATTTTTAAATAAAAGTAGGACAATTTCCCTAACTAATAAAATTTAGTGGCCTAGATGGCAGATGTGGCTTTTTTTGTATCATTTTAGTCTTTCATTCTCATTCCTGATATTAGCATCTTGTCTTACAGTCCAGTTTATACTAATAATTTTTCCCCCATCTTTTTATAGTGTAGACCTAATTTCTGTCTGTCTTGTTTTGTTTTTTTATTCCTCTTTTGACCCAGCTRTGCCATGTTACCACACTTACCTGTACAGAGTATGGGAGCACTACCGACTGCAGGCCATGAGATACGGTGAGTCTCTTGGATGTTAATATTTAYTCTGAGTAGTGTGATCATAAGTTTTCTCAGAAAGCCATTGTTTATGTCATTCTGGCTTTCAGTTTTGGGCAGTTCATGCCCAGAACAGCTTTCTGGTTAAGAAGTGGGTGAAGTAAGCTGACTGAGGGATGTAATGGAGAAGAGTGGAGTGGCTTAATACAAACACCACATAGATCATTGCACAGAACAGTTCTGTAACTTTTAACCATGTTGTGCCACATCTTACTAAAYGARYRTGTGAAACAAYAGAAGTTTGATTCCTTACTTGGACAGAAGTTTGATTCCTTACTTGGATGTGTCCTTTCTGCCTGAGCAACTGGATGTTAGGTGCTTTCTAGGAACAGAAACTTCCTTCTGTTCTTTCTCATTGTAGGGATCGGAGCTACAAAAACTGCATTTTAAGTTTATCTGTAAATAAAGAGTATGATTAGTAGTTGTGTCAAAGCAATTTGCTAGTAGAAAAGGAGCATTAATTCCTTTCTATCAGTAGTTGATAAATAGAGCTGTAAACTGTTTAGCTGTATGGAAAGGGTGTGTTTAAAATGACATGTTCAAATACCTCTGACAGTTTAGTTGGTGTCAGTATCAATGTGGGCTGCAGCAGTTCTTGGCTATGTGTGTGTACCAGAGTTCACTTGGCAATTTCTGTGAACTGTGATGGTTTTTTGTGCCCATATTGCAATTTAGGAACATCTCCTGAGAATATGGAATGCTGTTGCATTATCAGTTGGGTATTAATTTCCACATGTTCCCTTCTTTCTCTGCTCCAGTCTGGAAGCTTCATTCGCCCTTCCATTACCAAAGGCTCACACACTTCCAGAGTCATTGCCATCTCCCCCCAGGCTTTCAGCATCTGAGCTCCAGATCCATGCCCTTGATGAACCAGATGCTTCCATTCCAGCCTGTCTGAGACCTCAAGATGACATAGAACTGAAAAAAGTGAGTTCATTTTACATTTTAGATCTCTGACACTTGTTTCTCCAGAAGCTGAAGCTGCTGCTGCTGAATATCATCCAGTAACTGTTAAAGACGAGGATAGAAAACAGGCTGCAGGTCCTAATCTGTGCTGCTGCTTGCTTTGATTCAAGCAGAAAGAAGGTGGTAAATCAGAGAGGAATGTTTTTTTTTTCTATAGATAATATATACTCAGCATAAAAAGGACTGTTGACTAGTGTGGTTTTAATTTTCTTCATTCTAACTTTTCTTTATCTTCTTTCTTAAGACTGAGCCAGAAAAGAGGCCAAAGAAAGTCTCACAGATCCGAATCAGGAAAACTGTTCCTAAGCCAGACCCTAATCTTACTCCAATGGGACTACCCAAACCGAAAAGGTGAGCAGTATCTCTGAAATGGACTGATAGCATATGAGTATAATCATTTCAATAAATGCTTCTCTTATCACCACTATTTTATACAGCCCTAGTTGAGTGACATCTGATGTTTACTTCCTTTATAAAAAATGATTGACACAGCYCTATCAACTGAATCAAAACTACTGACTGGAGTTTAGGCAAAATGTGAAAAAGGAAGCTGCAATGGAATCATTTTTCTAAAGAAGAAAGAAGTTTTTACTGATGAACGTAAAGTGAAAATCAGTCATCCTGCAGTGCACAATGAGAYGAAACAATCTCTTAGGAAGTTCTGTTGATACAAATTATGTTGGAGTTCTTCACAGTTCTTTCATTGCTTGGAGTATATGATCTGAGGGAAGCATTAGTTCAGTGCAAGTGTGGGTAATCACAGTGCCAGATGGTGATAAAGTTTTCCAGTCAGTCATCTAGTGTGACTTCTAGTCATACTTGTCATATTTCATCTTGTACAACTTCTGTCAAACACAGGTACCACCTTTGACAAAGGAATGCATTTCTTCAGAGATCAGCTTGGTAATTGTCAATCACTAAAATCAGTCTCAAGAGATGAAGTATTAATCTGTTAAACTGTCAGACTTTTCTTAGTTGGGGAAGTGAAGGGGATTTCCCCTTCTTTTGAGTGTCATCATTTCAAAGCATCATAGAATGCTAGAAAGAATATTGGCCTCTGCAGAAAAGGCAAGTCTTGACCAAGACATAAAAACACAGTATGAAATTATGTACTTTGTGAGTTCATTTTTCATTCCCCTTTGTTTCCAGTTAGTCAAACCTTAAYTAGTTAGTATTTAGGAATAGAATGCAAACCGTACTTGTTTCTCATAAATCTGCATGCTGTGAAGAGAGGTTGTTTTGAAATTCTTCTTTCTTGATTGATTTGTCATTACTTTTTCAGGCTTAAGAAGAAAGAATTTAGTTTAGAAGAAATTTACACAAACAAGAACTATAAGTCCCCTCCTCCAGCCAGGTTGGTTCTACTTCTTAAGAAGAAAAGTTAAGATAAATGTAAATTAATTASAGGGAGAGAGAGGGGAGATGAAAGTTGTATGAAAGCTAAGAGGGCAGTATATTCTTAAAATTGCTCTAGTTTAAACTGCTAGAGAAAGTTAATTTGTAAATAGTATATTTTACTATTTGGATGGAAAAAAGTGAAATAGACTATGAACTAAGAATTTGCAGCTGGTTAATATGGATYTGTATATTTTTTTCCCCTATCCCTTCATTCCAGTCTCTATCAAAGCACTGTACTAATTTTTCAAAATTGAAAGGGAATTACATGTTCTTTAAAATACTAAAAATAACTGCCTGTCATCAAATGTTCAAGCCTATTTATTCTGTAAAATCAAAATTCTCTAATTGTGCTTTTGAACTGAAATACAAATAGATTCTAGCCAAATGACTGTGCAGCAGTAACAACTTAGCTGGCAGTAATGTGCATTGTAGGAGGWGTAAGCTGTAGATAACATTACAGGTGTAGAGAGGCTCTAAAATGTAAAAGTTAGAAGTGTTTATTTGGGCTATGAGATCCTCCAGTCTCCCTGTCAGTGTAAGGTGGCTGATGCTAAAGTATTCATGAGYTCTGTTCTTGCTTTTACCAGGAGCTTGGAAACAATCTTTGAGGAGCCCAAGGAGAAAAATGGACACTTGATCTCTGTCAGCCAGCAAAAGAGAAAGCGGATTCTGGAGTTTCAGGACTTTACTCTTCCCCGGAAAAGGAAGGCACGAGGCAAAATCAAAGCAGTGGGTAGTTTCACCCGAGCAAAAAGAGCTGCACTGCAGAGTGCAGAGTTAGATGTTCTTCTGAGTCAGAAGCTAATGGACCTTGAAGCCTTTTTTGCGGAGGAGGTTGAGCAGGAGCAGGCCTCCAGCATCTGAGGCAGCCACTTAGCTGGAAATGGTGCAGTCAGCTTCTTTAGTATTTTTCTCTTGGGAGAAATGTACTGACTTCTTCATACATTACTCTACCACTCTGTTCTAATATCTGATAATCAGTTTTTACCTGTGACCCTTGTTAAGGTGCTATTTTATTTTTATTTTTTTAAATGCTATTGGATTCTATTAAGTCCCTGTTTGAGTGTAACACAGCCACATGAAATTTACCCTTCCTTCCTCAACCTCTGGAAATTACTACTTATATTTAATTAATTATGTTTAAATACCTTTTGGGGGTAGAGTAGGAGTGTAAAGGAGGAAATAGTGCACCTTCAGTGAACAGTTAGAACTCTACTTCAGATCATTTGCACATTTGARTCTGCTGTTGTTACTGTAATGGCTATTTTTAACCAGCTGACAAAAGAGATACAGTGTTTGATAAAGTCTAGCAAACACATTCTTGATATACCACTAACCTTTTAATAGCTAAAAGTAGCTGTCTAAGTTTGTGTTTAATAGTTTCTTCCTTCTGTTAACTTAGAAGGTTCCTTCTAAGTTTCTTTGACCTTCCTGGCTCCAGGCAGCAGAAGCCCCACAAAACTAGACTTTAAATAACTTGCACTTCATATGTTTCTTTTAACATTATTCAATTCAAAAAAAGGCAATGTTTTTAAGGMAGTAAGGTGCCCAGTACTATTTCTTCCCAAATAGCAGATTTTTTTACTTACTTGGCTAATGCCAAGCTCTTTTCCAGAGGAATAGATAATTGGTCTGTGAGGATGTTTAGATGCAGGATACATAAGCTGAGGTTTAATTGAGCTGAGCTGCTGCAAGCAGGGAACACCAGCAAAATCTTTGAGACTTGTTTTAAAGTTATTTTAATTGCATTCATACTAACTTGATTTTAATATCAACAAGAAGGGGGTTTTTACCATTTTAGATTTACAATTCCTGTAGCTTATAATAAGATATCCTCTGTATAGCACTATTGTACATAATAGCCAGTGTTGTACAAAGAGCCTCTGAGTATGTGGACATGGTTTTCATTATGTGAGGCCATATGTGATTATCTGATGCAGCACTGGGCAATTTCTCAGCTCTACTTTTGGAAAGAAGAGAGCTCCCTTCTGGCATAACTTCTGTTAAACTTACTTGAAGCATAATTCCAATGCTAGCTGCAGTTCAGGTAATTTCTGTCCCTTAGTGCCTAGAGAARTTATTCAGGCAAAGCTGTCGTTGCTGGGATGCTCAAATTTAATAAGTCTGTTCTTTCTTTCACTTGTCACTTGAACTTGCACTTTCTTATTTACCTGCCCATATAATAGAGTTTCTATTTACCTTCAAATTGAGCAAATATCTAGTGGGTGGGTATTTTTTATAAAGTCCCAATAAATGCACGACTGAAAATGCCACCATAATCTTCTGTTACTCTACCATTTCTGTTACTGACCAAACAGAAAACWAAAAGTTAACAAGCAATCTGTTGAATTTCAGAGCTTTGAAAGTAGAGAAATGGAAGAGAATTATTRCAATGTGTGTGCCTGAGTTTTGAAAGAATTCTAACCTGGGTTTGTTTTGCTCCTAGCTTATGTGCTGGGATATGTAAAAGTTTACATTCTTGTTTTGAAGTCAAATTAATCAGGAAGACTGAAGAAAAGAGTGCACACTTAGAATAGTAGTTTTTGGAGTTTGAGGGTAAAATAATATGGCAAACTTTGAACATATTGACATAGTATTTTTCTGGTTAACCTGTTGGGCTGATGTAGAACATTCTAACTGATCCTCTCTATTTTTGTAAAAAGAATTCCCTAAAAAAAGGTGAACTGCCTCCTAAAAAAATGTTTGAAAGTTTCCCTATACTGGTTTATTAGCCCAATTATTGACTAGTTGGAAGCAGTAGCAAGAGTGAGAGATATATTTTTATGGATTTATGCTATAGAATGGGATTGTTAAAGAGTATTCATTCATCTTCTATTAATATGGGAGGCTTCCAGTGTTGTGACACAATTAAGCTGTAACCTTACTGGGGCTTTCAAGGAAATAAAGATATGGGTGGGGAGGGAAGAAACTTGGGTTCAGGAAAAGTTCAGACCTCTAATGTGCTTCAAAACATGGAATGTGTTTTTTCCTTTGGGTTATGATGGGTTTTGGTTGTTTTGTTTTGGGTGGGGTTTTTTAATCTTCTTCCCTGCTCTCTCTTGTTTCTGATTGCATTAAAATAACATTTCTTAAGTTGTTTTCTACAAGCAGAGAGAGCAAAGAAAACACTCAATTCTCTTTGGTTTACAGTAACTGGAGGAGTTGTGAAATAATGTTGCAGTCGTCTAGCTTGTCCCAGACCTTAGTTTGTGGAAACCCAAATACACAGCATTATTCTYTTTTGGTTTAGTGTTTGTATGATAATGTAAGCTAGTGGTGACCAAGCGTCTCTTCCCCCCTCCAGCATACAGGTGTCAGTCCTGCTTGTGCACTTTTTTGTTTTTTCCCTTCCCACCTTTGTTCCTGTTTACAGCACTCATGGAACAGCCATGTTCCTTGTGGCTGCTGCTTGTACACTGGGAGTGACGACTGTGCAAAAGCTGGGCATTTGCCATTCTGAGCTGCTTCTGTCACAGATAATTGAAAGAAAAAAGTGTAGAGGATTCATCTTTTGGGGTCTTGCAGTCTTGCATATATCCCTAGCAGAAGGATATGTACATTTGCCTTCTTATTAAGTGAACCCACTGCAGTGAGGTTTTTTTTGTATCACCGTGGAAAGACATTGTACATGACAGACTGATGACTAGAACAGCTTGAGAAGGATTGCAAAGCTTTTGCCATGTCCTGTCTCTTAGTAGTAAGTTATGCAGAGCCAGGCAGCTCTTTTCTAAATTTGCTGATTGTTTGAGATCACTTTGAAAAAAAAAAAAAAAAGAAAAAAATTGTTATTTTCATCATGCTATGAGTAGAGCAGCTAAGGCTCCCTAATGGTACAGCATTTGCCTGGCTGGCTTGGAGCTGCATACATTTGAGTTCTCATGTTTGCTGGATATAATTTCCTGCAAACGGTTCTCATTAATTGTATTTTATTTCAGGTGGGCCTTTGGTATATTATGTTCCAGGTGCTTTTCTAGAATATGGATGGTAACTGTGGATTAAAAGTCTGTATGATGCTATCAAGTTAACAAATAGCTCAATGAGAATTTGTACACTTGTGCCATTAGCCTCCATCATGCTCTTGGCATTTTGTTTCTGTTCAGTATTGTGTGAATCTAAAATTTTACTGTTTCTTTTGTGTGTTTTTAATTTATGGAAATAAAACTTTCTGAGAATCTTTCTGTTTTTTAAGGTCTTAATGCTTGTATGGGTAATTATGCATGAAAATGTATCTCCAAAGAGATTAGCACAGTTAAATAACAGAGCATGCTGATGTTCTTTCATCCCGACCTGGGGGATTTTAAGCATGATCTCACCCACTATGCATAGCATTGAGGCAGCATCCATCTCTTCAGATAGCAGAGCAGTAGGAGGCAGAGAGCACAGAGAGCCTGCTCAGCTCAGAGCTGAGGTTTAAGGCTGAAGCTGGCCTGTGGTTCATGTACCAGGCAGTCCAAGGCATCACACTGATGTTTGTGCATCAAACCTGGAGCACGGGGTCATCAGCAAGACATGTCTGTGTCAGAAAAYAACATCTTTGCCTTCCCAACCCATAAAATCTTGTGCATAATCCAGATTTTTAATTGATCACTGATCAGCTGAATGCTACTCTTGGCAAAGCTAAGCTGCCAGATGCATTYCTTCACCGTGTTCTCAGAACTCCCTTCTCCCAGGTGCAGTGTCACACGGGCCCCGCAGATGGCATGGAAGCTCCAGGAAAGAAAGGCAGGAACACCTGAAAGGCCTAAGCAAGGATCCTGCTCTTCCCCTGCTCCTTCAGGGCTACAGCTCACTGGCTGCAACAATATGCAAGGACTTGGTTCTGTCACCACACGGGGACAATACATGATACAGATGATGAACAGATGATTTCTGTCAAAAGGCTTCATATCATGGTCAGGCAGTTTCTGCTTGTAAAACTTAGGCTGTTTAGACATATAATATTTTGACATTTCATAGAATCCTAAATCCAAAGTGTCAGAGTACAATAAAGTAATGGTTGGAACTCGTGACGAGGAATATCCATTGCTTTCTTCACCTTAAGGCTGCAAGCATCCAGCTCTGCTGGCTATTAAATGCCTTAATGCATTTATTTGAACAAGAAAAATGTTTTGATCTACTACTAAAAACTCTTGGTTAAAAAGAAATGCATATATGCATTCAGCAGGGAGTCTCTGGCTACAACCAAAATCACAGATATAGGAAGAAAATGCTGCAACTACCAAAATTTGGGGGTTTTTCCATGGAAACTGGAAGACAAACAGGGCAAAATGCTACCAGTTAACCTGTGCTACTCATGACAGTCTATGTTTTAGTCCATGGTACTGGCCCTGGTCTTTCCACAAGAATGCTGATCCTAGTTCTGTGCTGTTGGTTGTGCTCTTTCCCAAGCTGCCATCCTCCAAAAAAGAAAGGGGTGTCATAGGAGTAKTATTACATCATTATAAACATAAAATCTGCTTAAAAAAAAAAAGACAAGAAGGTATTCACCATACATTTCTAGAGATTACTGTTTCCTYGCTGATTGCTTTAGATAGGTCAGACTTGCACATTTTCCTTGTTTTCAGCAACGCTGGTGCCCTGCAAAGCCTCTGTATTCGCTGTCAGTTGGATGAGGATGCACAGATATCCTGTTTGCAGAAGTCCAAGATGCCTATAAATCAGTAAGAAAGTATACACTTAATGATGCTACAAGCTTTAAAAGTAGTAAGTTCTTCAGTTACTTTTCATTAAACAGCAGAGTAGAGGTCAAATTCCCCTTCTGAATTGCAGTTAACAATTTAGTCTCACAGAAGCCTTAACACTGGACTCCTTAGAAATTTGTTACTAACAGGATTAGGTAGAATATACTTCTCCAGGCAGTCTAAACTAAAGGGCCATAGCTGTGCACAGAGGGCTGCCTGCAGCATTTCTCTATAATTCCAAATTAGCTGCTTGACTTTACCTGCAGGTGTGCAATTAAACACTGATTCTGCCAGCTGAASGAAAGACACTCCAAGGATTTCCTGATAGCTCAGGTGACTTGCATGAACAAGGTATTGAGTGGCGTCTTTGAAAAGCAGATCACTTTCACCRTACTTCCACGACTGAAAGAGCTGGAATTCAGAATCCAATTTGCTTCCCAGAGATTCCTAAACAGAAAAGAAATAAGTTTCACAGCTTGGGGTCATTAATTGCACTTTCATCTAGCACTGTTCTTATTAGATCTAGCACTGTTCTTATTAGTACAAAGAGATGAATTTTTGCAGTGTCTTATTTCTCAACAAAAGTATGGCCTCTGTGGAATGAGAACTGGTGCCAAAATACCCCTCTGAGAAAATAATCATTTGGATTTTCTAGTCTCCTATGTACAATTTTAATTCTTAGTATTGGGTCTGAAGACACTTGATGTATGTAGTATAGAAAGCTTTTTATCCTGAATGGATTTTCAGTAGTTGTATATGACAAATGGTAACATGCCAGGCTTTTCTGTTACCTGTCATACCTGGGATTTCAGTAGAAAGTCAGAGATTTTAGTGACAGTGACTGGTCGAGTCATGACTGTGCTGGGGGGAATGGGGCCAAGGTTACAGCCTGCCCATTCGGTGACTGCGGTGCGCGTTCCATCGGGACACAACAGTTCAAAGTCAAGAGGGGTATAACCTTTTGCCCAACCAGAGCTGTCCAGATCTGAAAAGAAAATGAGGAGAAATYCTTTTGAACAATTAAAGTGGAAGAGAGGTGAATCTCATATAAAATGTTAAAACTTGAGAGGAAGAAGTTTAGTCAGTGTATTCAAAACAAACACAGAGTACTATGTGATCATTTCTTAGGAATGCMTAAGGACCAGGGTAGTGATTTCACTGAGGTCAGTGAACTTAAGCTGCACCTATCAACTAGAACTAGAATAATATAAARGCATATGAACAACATATCATGTCTCATCTGCATCTGTAACTAMATCCCTTTCTGAAAACAAAGCAATCCAGCCTGTGTGCCCTTTGCTCCCCCAAACGAACTGCTCATTGCTGCTTGAATTCCTGTGGGTTTCCAGGCCCTTACACCTTCATCTGAGTTTAGAGAGATACTTCTCTTAAAAAAGTCTCTTCTGTTACTGAAATTGCCTAAAATAGAATATCAGTGTGCTTTATTGGGGGTTCCTTTTCTCCTTGATGCTATGAAAAGCATATTTTGGTTTGCCTTTTAAAGCTTTAAGCTTTCCAAAAGTTTAGTGTACTTTCCAAGGATGATTACCCCAACACACATCTTTGCACTCAGTGATTCCTCTTTCCTCTCTTACAGTATCTGAATGTTGAGCTTTACTGGAACACCTACATGCAGAAAGCTTCTTGCAATTTTCCATTTACAATCACAGCTTCATGGACCTAGCTKAAACCTGTAAAGGCTGATCCTCACGAGTGATGGTCACTTTGAGGGAAGTAACTGACATTAATGAACATTTTCAAAAGAAAAGAGAATATATACATCTCACCCTCTATGTTCTGGAGCAGGTTAGAGTGTTCCATGAAAGCTACATCTCCAAAGCTTCTTCCACTGGGATTGCCAACAAGGCACCTAGTGCAAGRAAAAAACAAGAAGTGATCAAAGACAGCAGTACAAGATGGCTGACATTTGGACAGTCATCTGAAGCTAATCCAGGAGTAGCTGGAAGTGTCCCTCCCATCTGTAATYACTTGGCTGTTACATGGAACATGTTAGTGATGTCACTACAGAGTTTGCTAAAACAACCCTTTTGATCCCTTACGGCGGCTCCCAAGACACAGCTGTGGCATAATGTGCACCTTCACCCATGCCTAGGCAGGAAAGAGAATGGAATTCAACTAAATGCATTATATGTATTTCATAAGAGTGCTTTCACTTTTAATAGTCTTCTCTGTCTTCAACTATTTTTGTATCTCCACTCTATCTAGTCATCTCCTGAATATTGCACTGCTTCTTACATCACCACTGCTCTCTCTGATCTTTTAACTATTTTTAATCCCTTCCCTTTAAYGAGTCAGCAACAATGCTCTAAGCCTTACATATTTGGAAGCATTGCCTTGCTCTGGAAATGGTTTCATGACCATTTTAAATCATCAGTCAGCTAAACATCCCATGGCARCTGCAACCAAAACAAAACACACACTAGCAAAAGTTTATACAGCCAGATTCTTAACAAATAGGGGAAAAAAACACCCTTCCAAAAAAAAAAAATCAACAAAATAATAAGCCAATTCTGGTTGTTGCTCTGCATTTCTGACTGTCACAAAAAGCTCACCTGAGTGCTCCCATATTGCCATAGTAACGTTCGTTGTGACTTGCAGCACATCTGCTGGACACTCGAGCTCCTTCCACCTCACCGTCTCCAATGCACACCTTGCACAGGTTTCCATCTGCTCCTGGCATGCAGCCCTTCCAAAAGTAATTCTGATAAGCTGAGTAAAGAAAACTGAGGTGAGATTAAGGCAAGGTGTTCCAAAGCCTCTTCACATATGGGAAAAGAYAGGAATGGAATTTCATCCCAAGAGCTAGCAAGCAGAGGGCTWAATAGTGTGACACATAGTCAGATACAAGGAAAAGCTGCTTCAACACCCTCTGAGRCCACAGTAATCAATTGCTGGTCAGATCCTCATAGTCCCACCTCAATTTTATTCCCAAATTGAGAGCTTCAGATTTTCGTGGTCTAGTTAACAACCCAGAGAAGCCCTTACCAGAGTCAATATCACAGTTCTCAGTATCATTCTTCTGAGTTCCCACTATGTGTCTGGACAGAAGCAACCATCCTCCAGGACTGTACAGGTGACTGTGGCATGATCGCCTTCCCCTAAGGTTATGGATGTGAATCTGCTTGGCACTTTTCTTAGCTAGGGCAACAGCATAAACAGGTGGCAGTGCTGTAAAACAATAACAAYCAGTTATACCAAAGCAATTAAGTATTCCAGACAGATACAGCCCTATCACTTCCCTCCCTCAATTTATCACAGTATCTTCAGTTGCAGTACAGAACCTGCATTCTTCGCTTGGCCACAAATCTCTTGTCCTTGCTCAGAAAATTTTATTCTGAACCAACATTCAAATACATTCCTACATAAACCCTAGAGCAGTSTCAGGAAAATCTAGACCTTATGCCCTCTCAAAGTTTCTGTTACCTTTGTGCTTAAGGTGAATTAGTTTCCCTGTTTTGTCCACGGTCTCAGCTGCTAGGGCACACTCTCCCCCTGGAAGGAAAGATAAACATTAAGGAACATAAAACTGCTGGCATTCCTTTTACATGGCAGCACTACTTCAAAACCCTTGTGATCCTCTTCAGCCATGTCAGAATCTTTGTCCCTTTAACAGAAGGGATGTAATAAACAGACCAAATTCTAGAGCCGGTTAGTRGGAGAGCTGTGAAGAGTATTTGGACACTTATACTGACTCCCGCTTCCATCACACAACATCACAAACCATGTAAATTTAACTATATTCTTAATGGTACTTTTTCATTTCCCTCTCTTMTTGTTAAGGTCACATGGGAACTCACCATAGCATTCTGCAGCTACTGGGACCAGTCCACACCTCCCTGCAATGTAGACGTGTGTTGCATCCAGGGTGACCGCATCAGCCTCACTACTCTGCCAGCAGCATTAGAGAGAATAACAAAACCAGGATTGGCATGAATTGTGTATCCAAGCAGCTGGACCTCCACTTGCTGGAAATTCTCCTGCATAAATTGCCTCTCATTCCCATTTATTCCTCAGGCTGGTTTTCCTCTCTTTAGCTCAGACAAGGACATACACACGCTGTGCAGCCTTATACCCTGACCAGAGGGACTCTCCTACCTTGATCATTTCGATGCATTTGGTCATGGAAGTTGCTTGGACACAGACTAAGGGGTCGGATTGGATGCTCAGTGCCCACTCCTCACATTTGCRAAGCTCAGCATCGCTGATGCAGCACCAGCGCACAATGCTGTTGTCCAAAGAGCTCCCTGAAATGGAAGGAAGGAGCACAATGAGATCATGTTACCAGTGCACCAATCTGTTATTTATTAAGGGGCTGTTTAGGTCCATGCTTTTGTGCTTGGCAGGGAAGAATAACATGGAAGGAGAACTTTTTCTTCCCTTTCCTTAATTACAGTCTTCTGGAAGGGTTCTCACCTTCATGGCCTAGYCCCTTAAGGAGAGCTACATAATCCAGACCAAGGACATAGGCAATCTCCAGCTGCTCCTCGAGAAGCTCTAGGTGCTGAGTGGCATCTCGGAACAGCAGRTTCTTTCCCCCAAAGGGTGCTGAAYTGAACAGTTCAAATCTGGCTCTTTCCTTTCCTTTTCGCCCAAAGAGGCGCTAGGACAAGAGTAACACTTTTAATTGCAACAAATCTGCTCATTCTTCCAGCAACAGGCAGCCTCAGCCTTCCCTCCTTTCATATCAGTGGTCAAGATATCAGATACTATTTGTAAGTTGAGAAAAAGTGATGAAGAAATGTAAGCCCTGCCTGAATCTCCAAGTCCCTCTCAGCTACGTAAAAACTGATTCAAGTTCCAGGGCAGGATGAACATCACTAGCCGTTTTCCATTTTGTGTGTTATGGCATCTTCCCTTTTTTTTTATTCCTAGCCTCCTACAGAAAAACACTTTAGAAAGAAGTTAAACCTTGCACAAACAATGCAAGTTCTTTCCCCGGAGCAAACAATTTCTAGCACTTTATTCACACTAACTAAAAATTTCTCAAGAAAAAGGCAAACTGAGTGATAATTGCCACACAAAGATGGAAGAAAACCTTGTGTCTGGATATGTACAGTTTATAGTATTCACTCACTTGGATCATGCTAAGAAATTTGTTGGTGATCTTCTGGAAGTTGTTGCGGGTGATGATGCCACGGCCAGGCCCCTTGCCCAGGTTACAGGTGCTGTATTCGGTCAGCTCAGCTGTGGACCCATCAGGACACAAGAGTTCATATTCCTGTTGTTCTGACTCTGAAACAAGAAGACACTTGTCAATCCGTGAAGTGAGCCACAACTTAGCAGCAGGCAAAGACATGGAATATAAGGGGATGCTGCTAAAGGTTATTCAGGCAGCACAGTGTACCAGGCACACTTGGAAAAGTCTCTGGTAAGTACTTCTCTTAACAAAGAGAGGGACCTCTGCGAGAACTGCCCCAAAATATTCCTTAAGCTGTATCCCTGTAAATATGTTTATTTAAAAACACCTACCTGCAAGTACTACTGCGAACCACCTTTGGTACGAGCTCAACTGAATATAAAAATATGATACAGGTGTATAGGAAATTCACAGTTATGCAGCTCAGTGCACTGAATTTTAGAAAGGATCTTGTAACTCAGGCAAAGCAAACACTGACAGCTGTGTCAGAGATTTTAATGAAATCACCTGTCTGCTCCCATTCTAAGAATCTCCTGTGAGCAACCATYGCTCACTTACACCTTCTAGTTCTGTAGCTTCCTGACTTGTGTGGAGAACCAAGAAATACACCTGAACTGCTTGCAGGGATTGAATTTTCCCTGGAAACAACAAAAATATTGCATATCCCCCAACTCTTATGCAGGAAGGAGCACAGACAGGAAATGAAAGAAATCTGAGTTTTCAAGATTACCTGTGGCACTCATAATTCTTAGATGATCTAAAAAGGCAACATCTGCCACTCCATCCTTCAAGCACCTGCAGGAAAACAAATGCCACCTATTAACATCACCTGTCTTTCCTCCCTTGCAAGTTCTTTTCCCCCAAAGGTCAATTACAGTGTCCCAGAGCTCACCTGAAGGCTCCCTCAGAGTCATAGAAGGGTTCATTACTGCTTGTCTCACAGAAGTGGTTCCTGTCTCTGACATAGGATTTTTGTCCTTGGCAGAGAGAACACAATCGGGGAGCAGCAACACCAACTCCAGGGATGCAGCTTGCATTGAAATACTCACTGATTGCTACAGGTGTAGGGAGAAAAAAATACAAAAGAAAGGAAAGAAAAAAGTCAAATGGGAAAAAAAAAATAAAAGGGAAAGGGTCCAAATATATCATGGCTGGAATTAGTTCATCCTTCATCTGTTGGCATTTCAGTTACTTTTGCTGTGGCCAGAGGTAGTCCTATGGCTCCTATCACCCACCTTGGCTCAGAGGTTGTGCCTCATCCCAGGAAAGATAATTTCTTGCAAGAAGAAAGCCAAGTGGAATATTCCAGCCTGAGGTCCACCTGGCTCCATTGTGGCAGCTACGCACACCTCGTAGACTCTGGATATTCAGAGTTCCTCGTTTAGCAATGGCCACAGCAAACACACAATTTCCTGCAATAGCACCAAATGTGTAACAGAACAAGAAAAAAATAAATCTCAATTCTACAGCTTCCATCTGTGAAGAGGAGTTGAACTACTTTTGTGAACATGGCTAAAGAGGAAATTACCTTAGGCATATTAAATGGAGGTACTTGTGCCAGGAACTTAACCATATACTGGCTACATGGCACCTTGTCAAACAAACAATGCAAGTTTGTATCACAATGTCAGTACCACAGGCAGACAAGCTACCAGGYACAAAGCACCTCTGGTATTTTATTCATCATCAGTAAGTATTTTAGAAATAATTGTTAGCCACCTCCATATTCCTATAAAGCTAATAAAAATATATTAACTTTTCTTTTCAAGAAATCCAATTCCTTAGTCAAATCAGAAATACAGTTTATTTTTAGCTTTACCAGCCTACCTTGATCATAGATCTCCTTTGCCACCACTGCCAAACCATACAGCTTTACAGCAGAGTAAACATCTCCAGCATCCAAGGAGGCAGCATCTGCTTTATTTGCCTTTAAAACAACAGCAAAACCCTCAAAGCAAGTGTGTTCACAAGGACATAAACAAGACCACAGTTTCTGCCTGAACAAATTTTAATTTAGTAGTTTGCTTTGTCCATTTATTTCCAAGCAGCTTTCTTATTTCTGGGAGACTGCAAGGACATTAGCCAAGRCAAAATAGTACATGGGATTTAATTCTTGTCTCTCAAGTGACCGTGTATTTTATAAGCAGTTCTAATTTTTCAGCATAATTTTATTCTCCCATAGATATCTGCTTACCAATTATTATTCCAGAAGGGGATTTGGACACAAAGTCTATTTTCAAAATCTCTGTGAACTCACCCTGATTTTATCAATGCARTCATATGTATTGTGGGCTCTGATGCAAGAAATCCTAGTAAAGGAGCTGGCAGTAGTGAGGGGCAGCACAGCCGWAAGCGCTTTGGAGAGCTCAGCGCACTTCCTCTGTTCCAGGTCAGAAAGGGTGCACCATCGGAATTTTTTCCCTGTAGGATCAAACAAGAAGTCAAGATTTGTAGGATTTCATGAAAAAAAAACCTTCAGTTTAACACCTTATGGAAGAGAGAAGTTATTCTATCATATTTAAYCTCACAGTAGCTTGATTGTGCTTACTCTCACCCACATACCCAGACACTTAGAGGCACTCTAAGGATGTGTCCACATCCAAACAAGGTCACTTTTGCCCAAAATGAGGACATTTGCTGTTGAATCTTCACTATGTCTCTTTGCTTCCACTTGATTGGAAGCAACCAAATAGTTTTAGGCAGAATTTTCACGAATCAATGATCATTTGGGCAAGATTTTTTGCTTTGGAATCTTGCTTGCTTCAACCTTAGTGAATTTTAGGCAAGGCTGCCACCCCAAATGACGAGGAACCAAAGATAAGGATGCGTTTACAGCTATGGTCTGATTTCCTGTTGGGATAGCAAGAGAAGAAATGGCATTTAAAATGTAGGGTAACCATCTTCCTGTTACCAGAGTGCAGTTTTACTCCTAACAAGTCAACTGGGATGYGATTTTATCAGAGCACAGACCTTCTAATCTTGATGTAAACATGCATTCCCCAGGGTTTATCAGTTTTACTGCTTCCTTGGTTATCAGTACAGGCCATTCTTTTAACCTCTGCTCTGCTGTTTCCTCTGCTGCTTTCACACACCAAGAAGATGCCATTAAGAGTGGAGGTGAAGGCGAACCTTCCTTTTTCAGAAGGACTTGAAGGTTTGGTTGGTTTAAACAAACTATAAAGTTACATCTTAAAGGAACCCAGACATGTCAACAAAATTTCCTCTTTTGCTCTAGGCTGCAATTATTCCATCCTGTATTATTTCTCTGAAATGCATTCTACTCTGAAATATATCATCATATGCATCTCCTAGAAGATATTAAACATTTAAGGGGAAATGAGTGATTGTTGTACACAAAAATAGCATGCAGTTGTGTAACTTGAGAGAATCTTAAGCCATGTAATGAAAACCAAGACTGAATGCACAGAAAGCGCCACAGTATCTCTGAAAGTCTAATTTCCAAATGTTGAAGCATTTGACTCTCTGAAGAACTACTAATACTACACAGAAATATTGCCTGGAATAGTAGTGTTTACATGATTGGARTTTTTATTTCCTTGAGCATAGCAACAGACATTAGTCCTCCACTTGTTTTGACGTTAATTCAGCACAATTCTAAGACAAATCCATTGAGGTTTTAGAGGGGAGCAGCTTGAGATCCAYAGATTCATTTTGCCCCATTAATGAGTACGCAGATCCCAACTACTCAAAGGAAACAAACCCTTACTGAATTATTAGGGAAGTTGTGTATCAAGCTGCTTCAAAACTAACAGGGTCACCATCTGCCAATGATCAAACAGAAAAAATACAGGCACAGCTCCTACTGCAACTTCTTTCTTTGCACAGAGGAAAACAAAACCGAAGCATATATTAATTGGAAAGTCACCCACCCAGAGGCAACCTTTCTCTTCTCCCTCTCTGCATCAGCCTTACCTGAAGCCAGCAAAGAGAAGATGATTAGGACAATTAGAATCACTGTCTTCATCATTACAGCAGTTTAGCAAGGATCTTCTCTCTATGCTCTGCCTTTTCATGCCAGGAATTCCACAGTGATGACCAAAGCTTCTGGAAGTTAATAAGGGGGGTTTAGACATCAACAAGGATAAACCAAGATTTAAGAAAACAAACAGTCAGAGGATGGTATATCCTGGTATGCACGGGAAAAAGGGACAGTGTCCCTTTCCTACCTGCAGATAGAAAACATTCATGCATTTTCTGCATTGTTTTGATCAGGAAGGAAGAATAAATGCAAGCCTCTGCTTTAAAAAGAAATAGTGTTYCTGCCATTTCAAAAAGCACCTAAAAACCTTTGAGAGATGGGCAAGACTTACATCTAAAACATACAAAAAACCATACCAAAAGCTAAATGAATTGTCCAAACTACTGACTATATCTCTCTATAGAATACTGAACGGTCCTTCTTACCTTATTTTTCTTCACCTGATAATGGTTCACCTATGGAGTAATTTTAAACAAAAAATCTTTGATTTGGCTCACCTGCACGACTCAGTACCCTTAGGTTTCACCCCTCAGTGAGCACAGTCTATATAATCTTACTGGATGTTAAAAAAGCCCTACAAATTTAAGAACAAGACACATGACAAAAGTAATTTTAAAGTTACATGTCCACATATTTACTTTTAGTTCCAAGGAGAAAGATTAGATGAAGAAAGAACATCTGTTTAGTCTGTAACAATTATTTGACACTATAAACAAATGCGTTAAATTTAACTACACGTGAAATTCTGAATCACTTCTGAGTCAATTCTGGGGAGACTTGTTTGTCAGGCCCACCATCGGGGTGCACTTACATATCAAAGCTAATGGCTCTTGCAAGGCTTGTACCAAATCACCTAATACCATCAAATCCCACCTTCTTTGAGGTTTTACTTCCTGCCAATCCTACCATTATGTACAGGATATGTAAATCCCAACAATTCAGTYCGCTAATAATATTACTGTTACATGAGGGCTGTATCTGGATTTCCCCTCAAATTTTACATATTTAACAATGGAAGGCTTTCCTATACMTGTCTAAGATACTTATACAGATATTATGCTACTRCCTRTGGTGATGTGAGAAAAGCAGAATGRCATGAAGGTGTTGTAAACTTCATTTAGGCCTTGGCAGGAAAAATAAACAAACATAAATCAGGAATTTAAATTAATTCATTTGCCTGAGGACCATGTCTTAAAGCATTGCGGATGTGGAAACAAGGTGGCAGGACTCTGGAATTCTTTTCCTACTGATTCACCCTGTGAAACTACCCCTCTGCCATGCCACCTTTAGAGAAAGATAATTAGCTACTTCCCAGTAACACAGSATTTTTTCATCTAGGGACGCATCAAAGAGAGTGGAAAACCAAATAATCTCTATAAAATTCATGCTGGGCAGCAGGCRTCCAGGCAACATCCAGGCAAGGGTCACCAGAGGAGGAACAGATGTAACTCCACTACCCTGCCAGACATCTCACTTGGAGTAACAGCATTGTGTCCGCCCCATGTCGTGTGTCTTCCCCCTAAAACCCCTGCCCTGGTAGTCCTGGTGCTCTCACACCTGGGGCAAATAAGATGTCTGTAAGAGCAGTGTTTGGAGGCATGCTGAACTCACCTGGCTCATCCTGAACTCCCCATGAGCCGCCCCCTCCTCAAAGTGTACCTCCCTATGGGCACAGCCCAGAACCCCTTTGTGGAGAGGGTTCATCCCCACATCACGYCCCCTCAGGGACCATCACCCTGTCTCCACACTACATCCCCAGGGAAATGACCCCACATCACGTTCCCTCTGAGCCGGCCCTGTCTCCACTCCACACCGCCTCAGCGACGGCCCCTTTTCCCCCCGAGCACAGAGAACAGCCTCCCCACAGAACAAACCCCCGCTCTGAATAACAGCCTCACACCCGTRTCCCCATTCCGGGTTTCCCCTCTGTAATGACCCCTTCCCTAGGCCCTGTATTCCGTCACGAATTCCAGGGAACACCCCCTCTCACATTCACCACCCCCGGGCGTGCCCGATCCCCTCACGGGAGGCGGCCCCGCCCCCTGGATTTGGCCCCGCCCCCCGCGCTGTTCCCGCCCCCGCGCTGTTCCCGCCCCCAGAGGACGCGGCGGCGGCGGCGTGTGAAGATGGCGGCGGCCGCGGCGCGGAGCAGGTACGGGCATGGTGGGGCTGTCACTGTCATTGTCATTGTCACTGTCACGCCCCGGCAGCACTGTCTGACAGCCGGCACCCCGCGGGGGAGGAGGAGCTGGGCCGGGGGCCGCAGCYGCCCCCTTCTCTCCTCCATCGTTCACTGACGTTTCCCTGCCGGGCTSAGTGCGGTTGTCTCTCCAGCCTTGGCCCTGCCCTTGGCATGTGCGAGGAGCTTTGCTCTCCTTCTCCAAGCTGGAAAGGAASATAAGGGGTTTACGTGTGTTAAGAACGAGAAGCGTGGCCTTGTRTAGTTTTAAATGGGTTTGGCGGTCTGTAGCTGTCAGTGTGTAAGTACTGAGTACAAATCGCTATAGATGGGGGGCAGCCCCTGAATTATGCAATCCCGGGGGAGGATGGCTGTCAGAAGCACCTGGCCGGGCACTGACCTTCCTTTACAGGAGCTATCCTCTTACAGGTTGTGCTTTTCATAGCAAGAAAACAGATTAAAGAATACTGTTTCTAGGCTACAGTTCTGTGTCTTAGACAGAACACAGAGTCCCCTTATTCCCCCTTCTCTCTMAAAACCTGGAGCAAACACCATGTGCACAGAGTGTGCCGTTACCTCCGGGCTCAGTGCTGGCAGTGGAGTGTTGTTCCCTGCACAGAGGTGGCTTGAGACACAGAGGGGCTGAAGTTAACGTGGAATTCCTTGGCAGTTCTTTCTCCATCAGCCTCCAGTTGGGTGGGAGAGGCAGGAGGTCAATACTCCCATTTGTACCCATCAAGGTCAGGCTGTYAGGAGCTGGGAAGGTGAGACTGTTTAGTCTTGGCACCTCTACCTATTTTTAGACGGATTTCAGAGTAAAGTGGAGACTGATTTTCCAGTGTTGGACAMCACAAACAATTTTGGTAAGAGCTTAGGGTTGTGTGTTGTGTCCTTTCTCTGTGCTGATGTGTGTGAGGATGTACCAAGTCCCGGTGTGTTCAGCCCTGCTTCAGCAGCGTGAACAGCTCCTGGATGCTCCTGTGGAGCCAACACAWCTCATTCTGTTCTGACCATGCATTTTTTTATAGACTGTTATGTAGGAAGGCTAATAAACGTCTCAAATACTAATGCCTTATGCTGCAGCTAAGTTTTAATATTTTTTTCCATTACTTTTTAGCGTTTGAGAACTCTTCTGGTAAATTTAAGTCTAATGCTAACTTGACTAGTTCTTGATTTTTTGAATCCATTAGAAGTAGTCCAAAGGCTCCCAGCTTACTGATGAGCAAGTACTTCTTTTATCTTGGGTGTTTTAATATGTTGTAAAACAGGCCTTGTAAGTCCACAAATTAGTTTAGGTTTGGTGTATGAGCCAAGAGCATCAGGTGACCTCATGACRAATTACCACATGTTGCTCTGTAAAACATACAGGTTCTGCAGCAGTGGGAATGCTTTTTCTGTCTTGCCAAGGAAGTAATACCCTGTGAGATCATGCAGCAGTGTGGCATGTTTAGCACCTGGTTACAGGAATCTGGGGTTTGGGGAGGGTCTGTCCTGTCACATTTGGGTTAATGCAGGRATTTTAATAGAAACAGTGAAACTGAAGGGCACAGTGAGCTATTCTGACACTGCTGGTATGGGGATAAGTGAAGACTATAGCTGTTGGTCCTTAGCTAATGTTGAAGCATAGTCACCAAGTGTGTGCTGGTGTAAGGAGGTGATTTCTAGACAATAAATCTGCTATTTGTGGATTCTTCTTTGAAATAAAGGGATCATATCCATATGTAACTCAGTAGAGACCTGAAATGAATTCTTTAATTTCTTAATGATCACTTCMTGGGATTGAATGGCCCCAGATGATGCAATATCTTGTAAGCTACTGAGGTAATTGTGTCCTCAGCTTGTATCTGATCAAGAGTAGATGAAAGGCCAGAGGGCAGATGAAGACATCCCAGATGAAGACATCCCAGCTGAGGCATTGCCTCCAGCCAATGAACAGGTTACACAAAGATCTGGTTCTTCCCAAGGGCCTCTTGGGGTGAGAACACTGTCCCTGTCCTTCCTGGGATCCTGTTTGACAGCAGGATATTGCCAGGCCACTGTCAAATACTTGTTTAAACATGCTTATTTACAGACTTGGAGCAGTTCTTGTACAACTGCAGTTCTTGTACAACTGCATGTCTTCTTGTCAGATTTATTACAAACATGAAATTAATTGTATAGTAAACACATAAAAAAGTCCTGGTTGAACCTTCTCTCTATATTGGCCAGTTCCAATTCTTTTTAATGTATTTTCAGAGAGGCAGAACCACTCTCACTGCAGTTCACCAGTGAACAGAGTGGTAAGGTAAATTCTAAAGAAGACCTGCTGTGTCTGACAGCCTTTTTACTTTTTCAGCTACACCATTTGGTCTAATAAATGCCATTACTTCTTCATAGAATCCAAAACTTTTCTGTGAAATCCTCCTCCTTCCTGCCTAGATGGTAAAAGCGACATGAACCAAATCCTAAGGGTCTCTCTTGATAGTTGCTCTTGTAGGAGGTTCTTAAATGACACAGTTTTGGCACCCCGGTGGAGATGGAATAATCCCAAACTGGAATCCAAGATGGAATAATCCCAAACTTTTATAATCAAATAATCATTATAAAAGCTGCCACTCCATTTGCATTTTAGAACTTCAAACAGGCCAAGACAGTAAATGCTGATAACATAAACAGTTGCCTGTAAAGGGCTGTTGGCAACATCAGAATCTACAATGCTCACAAAAGTATCAGTGTTACAATAGTATTAAGCCTAAGAGGAAGGTGTCAATATTTGTTAAGAAAAAAAAATWAAGATGAATCATTAAATAAATACTTGCAGGAGCAGTTGGATTGTCAGGTTTTCCATATTTTTTTAGGAAATAAGTAGACCATAAGGGACTAGGCTCAGTGGAAATTTTATGATAATTTGAGGAGATTTTTCCCTCTGTTATTCAGCTGCTAAATATTAGATTGTCACTACACTGAAGTGCTCCCATTTGCATTATTAAATATTTGTACTCAAGCAGCCACTTCTTGTTTGTTGTATTTGCAGTTTGCTGTGCAGCTGTAACTTGCTGGTACRTAAGAACCTGTGTGTTCGAGCTGGAGTCCTGTGGAAGCAGCCCCCTTCTAGGACATTTTTCACTGGTATGTGATGGTTTTATCTACCGATGTTTTTAAATTCAGGGTTACTCAAAGTTAGGCAAATTGTGGTCCCATATGGGGGAAGATGAATTTCTTGAAATTAAAGCAGTAGTGGGAGTCCAGCCTCAAAGACCAATTCGTGGCATTTCCATAGATACAAACTTGCAAATTATGTTTTACTTCTTTGGTGTTACATTTTCCCCATAATTTAGAATTGTATTTATCTTTTTCATAAGACTGTTTATGAGCTGTTATTGATTGTTGCTTTCAAACTTTTCAAAGCATCTGATTTTTTTTTCTAGTGATGTTTTGTGAATAGCAAATTAAACCCCATTTCCCATAGGTTAATTTTTCTTAAATCATTTTTGCACTTTAGCTAGTTTTCTCAGGAGTCTACAGTTCAAAATCACAGTTTAAAAACCACAATATAATTTACCAGAAAGATTCATGTTAGGACAGTGTTTTTTACATTTTAAAAAACCCATTTAAATGAACTTGATGAGCAATAGTTTGTGTACTTTCTACACCTACTGAAGTGACTGACTGGGAAGGGCAACATCAAACTTAAGGCATATTTAGGATGTTGAACTGTATTTTAGAATATTGAACTGTATTACCTGCTTTGTAGTGTAGCTCTTACCAGCTATTCACCTTGAAAAGTCTGAGAAATTCCAATTTCAGCAGCTTAACAGCCCTATAAGAAAGRAAAGGTTTAAATATCCTTTTAAATTTTAATCTGTACTTGTATTTTTAATACAAGATTTTTAATAGATCAGGAAATCAAATGCAGCTGACATKAAATGTTTAAGMCTTGGTTAAATGGTWCTTGCACTTGGAGTTTCTRTAGCTGGRTAATGCTTTGRTGATCACATATTATTGTTTTAAGGAATATTTGTAAACTTGTAGCATATGCATTGTCATATATTAATATCACAACTAATACAGTTTTAAWTTTTTGCTTCCTTGCCAGCTGAGCTATTGGCCCCATTTTCTATAAACATTTCTTTGTGTTAACTTGCCTGTCCAAATGCTTTGTTTGGCATATCATATATGGACATTTCATTATTGAAAAATATGCTTACACAGAGGAATAGRAACAGCAGCTCTTTGTTGTCTATAAATCAAACTCATTACAGAAAAAAAATCTTGGAAGCTGAGACACATAATGCAAAGTTGTTGATCACATGGAATAAAAGGTCAGTTTAGTCAAAATCAGCTTTGAGTTTTGAACAAKTCAACTTTTTAACCTGTCATTTTCTAATTCTAATTG